CCGGCTGTAGGTGACCCTGCATCGGCAGGGGGGCTGGACTAGATGACCCACAGAGGTCCCTTCCAACCCAGAACATTCAGTGATTCTGTACACGTAGATCATGAAAGTGAGACGTGCACTTAAACCAATGAGAAATCTAATTAGACTTCACTAATTGAGTACAAACACCTTGACTGAAAGATATGAAGGCTAAGGAGAAGAGGGAAACAATAACTCAGAGAAACAAGCAAAATTATACCACCATAAATCAGAAAAGGAATAATAAGGAATTTCTCAATACTGTGATCGCTGCTCGTCTGGAATAACCAATAGCTGCTTTTTGACTTCTCATTATTTCTACTGATAAACAACAAAGAAGTAAAAAAAAAAGCAACCCTTTAATGCACGCTATAAGTATTGAATGAGTAACATCAACTCCATGTACTTAAGTTGCAATTAGATCACAGAGCTTGGTACGTGATCAATTACAGGTACAAAACTTGAGTAGTTATATGAAGTGGTTGGGTTTGCAACAGAAAATATTGAAGTTGACAATAAGGATGGGAAAAGCACCAATCAAATCGGAGTCATCTGCGTAAGGCAGCTGGCTAGTTGAGAGGTTTGTTTACCTTAGAATCATTCAGCGAGTTAAAAACGCAGCCCTGCTTCTCTGTTGCCTGGCTCCCTGGCAGTCCTCTGCTCTCGAGTGGAGCACAAGGCATGAATGAGCTGACTGGAGCAGCGGGAGGTTGAGAGAGCAGCAGGAACCTGCCAGCCTCCGCGGTGCATTCTGGTTCACGAGCAGGGGTTGAATGATTTGCTGATTTTTATGGTGCAGATCCTTGCTCAATATGACTTAGAAACTATGGTTTACAGACTGACTTCGGGGAGGTTTAAAACATATATTATCTATGTAATTTTAAAATTTTTAATACATATATAAAAAGATACCTTGCAGCAGTGGGAGTGGCCACTGAGGATGGGAAGAGTCCCTCTTGCTACACGAGGAGGCACAGAGATATGGTTCAGCCTTCCTTCAGGTATACATCATGTCCAAATGTGTTTGGTTTTTTGTTTGATTGTTTAAAGTTCACAAATATTTACAGACTCATAACTTGGCACTTTAGTGATCTCAGGTTTTAGTTGCACTCCTTACATTTAGATACAATTGCAAGATGCACTAAAATTTGCATTTTAGTATTTGCCCAACTGAATTAAGTGCTACTCTCTTTTCTCACATTTCTGCCTTCTAAAATGACCTCTAAAATAACTAGAAACTCAAATGAATTTTTGATACCATTCCAATTTCTTGTATTTTTAAAAGGGTTAAAATATCAAATCGGTAAAGAGAATTATTGTCCAAGTTAAAGCCTTACACATAAGCCAGTAACAAGGGAAAAGCTAAAAGAACTAGGTTACGTATTTCTAACACCTTAAAGTTACTTGATCAGTTCTAGGTTACTCACTCAACTGAGACAACAACCGCACTGAGAGATTCGGCCATGATTCTGCAGAGATTGTTATAAAGGCTTGTTCCTGGAACGAGAGGACATGGTGTTAGCGACATACGAGTCCATTTATGTCAATGTTCACAAAGCCGTACGTAAGCCTTCTCAGAACAGAGACATGATACAAATATAAGAAAAGTAGATGAGATCAGCTTGAAATAGATAAAGTGCCAAATATATATTGCAGCAGAAGGAACATAATTCACGCCTTGAGAAGTCCTGCAGTCTAATGCTTTCTTTCTCATCTGTTTCTCGGTGACTTGGGGCATGTCATTTCATCCACCAATCACAATGCTCTCGGTCGGGCAAAACTGAAGGTACCCAGAGGCTTGGGGGCATAAGCATGCAGAGACAGTTATTGCTGTATGAGTCACTGCTCGTTGGTCATTTTATTATAGCATGCATTATTTTGATTCAAATGAGTTGCCCTATTAGCATCAACCGAACTACTCATTTAAGGGAGGATTAATCACAGCTATCCTATTTATCTGTGGACTGATTTTCTTTAATTTTATTCTTTTCCAGTTACTTAATTGCTGGTTCCCGGTACTATAAAATATACTAAGACACAAAGTGTTTTCTAACGTATCTAGTCTTAGAATTTAATATTTAGCCATAGCATTTGTGTCATTAACTTCTGCATCTTGGACTTGAGGATAGCATCTGACATAGCTGAGTTACAGCCATCCAAACAAAGCGTGGTAATTTAATATAAACTTTTTGCACAACACGAGTCATATGCAAACTGCTACAGAACACATGAGGTGGGCAGGTTGCTAACAAACACCCCTTAGGCAGGCCTAAGAAAGCCCACCTCAGAGCACAACTCCTCTGTAAGAAGAGGAAAAAAAATTTAACTGCTATAGGACTACTGGACAAAGAGACTGGGATTTCCAAAGGCACGTGAAGGCCAAATTTTAAAATTATTTAGGAACCTAAATTTCACTTAAATCGTGGTCTAAGTGACTTATACATGCATAGTCAAGTGCAATCAATACAGCCTTGTTTTGGAACATTTCTGAAAACCCCATTAATGTTATTTTCCTAAAGATGAAGCCACAGAATGCACCAGGGCTGTATGGACTTCATGATGTCACGGGAGCAATGGGGAAGGAAAAGAGGGATGACTCCTGTCAGATCTGGATCTCGGAGCAGCCGTGAGAACTGCACACCCTTTCTCCTCCCAAGGCTTTTTTCCTCCTCTAAGACGTGGTAGGATCAGTGGTTAGCTTATTGCTGCCCATAGTTGTACCTTACTTTCTCTGATCACGTTTGTGGCTTCTAAGTTAACTGGAGTAAATAGCACTAATTTTCAAGGTAATTTCTGTTAGCGGTGGCAGGGATCCCCTAAGGGAGGGGGCCAGACCATGGGATGGGAACCCACCTCTACACATTTTCTTCATCACGCTGCCCGTTGTCTGTGACCAGCAGCATGTATTCCCAAGCAGGCGCTATTTAAGAGCCAAACAATAGCGCTGCTGTTACATGTAGGGTTGTTCAGCTCACTCTTCTGCTAATCACTGTGTGAAAATGGGGCAAAATCCTTACATGTAGACACTGGATCCTGATTACCAAGGACTGACATTTGCACGTGATCATAGAAAACAGGAGACTGGCCCAAACAGCCCATGCAGGCATCCCAGGAATTTAAACAATAAGCTATTTTGTCCTCTCAGGATGTAATGAAATTAACCTTTTGGTCCTTTTACAGCTCATGTGCAGATAAGATATGCATTTTTGCTGTGTGTTCACAACATTTTTCTCCCTCCCTCCTTTGAGCTGATCTACCAGAGTGAAGACCGCTCTTACTGAATTCAGGTATGTCTTTGCAAAATTGCCATCCCTGGCAGGAAAACCAGCTTTTGGCTTCTCAGGCTAGAAGAAAACCAGACCAGAATCCTTTTTAATTACTGGCAGACACATACTTGCACTTGCCAAGGCCCAGCCCCCTCCGTGGATGTAAACAACACTGCGCTTGAGCCTTTCATCTTGCTTCGCAGGGGGTTCAAACACTCTGACTTCCACGCCATCAAAAACAGCATCTGTGATGTTAATGTCTTCAGGGGAGACAGACTTCAGCTTGTCAAAGGTACAAATCACATAATTCAGAGCTATCAAGTGATGGCTGAGTCTCAGATAGTGAATTAGGTGACACTAAGTAAGAAAAAAAAGGAGAAAAAAGGAGATTTCTATTACTTCAGAGCGTATCATACGATACTGGATCAATGTTTAATGCAACTGTCTTCAAAGGGCAGGTCCTATACAAAACTGAATATGGATTCTTATAATATTCATGGGCAAATGAATGATTACCAAAGACCTCTAATGCTTTTAAAGCTGTATTAAAACAAAACCCTGTCCATAAAAGATTCTCTGTTGTCAAAATAAACCAAACCACACTACGCGGGTCAAGACAACTGTGAATGAGTGCTCAGGTCCTTGCCTTCGAAAGACACCTGGGAAAGGAGAGGAGAGGAACCTCACCAGCATGCTCCACTATGGGACTGGGGAAGCTCCTCAGACCGGTGCCACCAGAGGGCAATGCCACACAGGCAAAGTTTCTCTGGTGGTAAGGTATCAAAAGTGCAAAGTATTTCTCTTGTTCCAGCCCAAAGCATAAATCCCTCCATTTCCAAATTAAGAAAGTTCTCAAGGGTTGCAAAGAAAACTGGAATGGTCTCAAAGGAATATAATACTTGTTTAGTATTGGTTTGTCCTCTGTTTACGTGCTGAATTGTGAAGGATCTGAAATGTCATCCAAGAACCATTGGCAGGTTAGTGATTTTTTTTTTCCCAACCCCAGACACTAAAGCGTATTACTTTTTGTCGGTTGGGGTGTGTAAAACACTACGAAAATGAAGAATAATCTGATCTTTCTGTCCCCTTATGGTAGAAGGAGAGAGATTTTATCCCCTTTGGCTAGCCAGGATTTTTATTTTCATGTTTATTTTTCACACTTTGCCCTGAATAGGTTAAAAACCTGTTCCTCCCAGCAAACAGTACTGGGATCCAAAGCATTGCCCCAGCCTAAATGGTCATGACCTGCTCCCCACATCTGACCTGCATGCTACTTGTAGTGCATGCTTGTTCCCATTCCCTGGCTAGTGCAGAAGGGGTGGCAAAGGATGAGCCGAAGGACTGCAGGGACCATGATGTCCGGGCTGGCTATTAAAAAGTAGTGCAAAAGGGGAAAGACCCTCCAAAGTTAATCTCTATCCTAGTGATAAAAGCTAGAAACTGGATAATCAGCTAAGCCTTTTCTACAATTTTCTCAGTCACGGCAATGAAGCTGGGAGGTAAAAAATCAATATATATGCCTAATGTTCAACTGTAGGACCACTACCATAAGGAAAACTGTCAGCTGGTGATCTTGTATTTCACGTACAGGTAACAGATACTTGGAAGAAAAAGCGTACTGTTAGGAGGCATGCAGCTCATCTACACACAACCGTTTTACTGTTTTAATTCTGCTAGTACCACCAGCACAGTGCAAACTGGCTGGCGTGAACTAAAGCTGCTGACACCTGAGTGAGCGGGGTCACCCAGGTACCGGCCTAACCGCGTTCATGTTGTGAAGAACAGATGGTCGTACAAAAACTAAGTGGAAGCCAAGTCTGGTTCCTCATGACAGACATGATTTTGCAAAGCAGAGTTTCACAGAATCTTTCTGGTTTCTATTATCTGTTCACAAGGAGAGCCATTTCATTTTCTTGACTTGGGTTTCTGTACCATACTTCTGCAGTACTGTTTTCGCAGCCACTTTTGGTCCCACCTTTCAGCTTCTCTGCCAGGAGCACCTGCTCACGGCAAAGGAAGGGCTAATGGAGGCAAACACACACCTCCAGAGGAAAAGCAAATTTCGAAGCATTCAGCAGCATCCGTGCCAAAGAAGATCCGTCCTCTTAGGTCTACCGCCCCAGCGCCTTACATGTAACTTTTTACTCTGTCATCATTAGTTTTCAAGACAGGAAAAAGAAATATTCACTTTCAGTCAGGTGCTGTATAGAAAAGACCCTGCACAGCCCGGCTTCCACCACAGACTGCTGTAGAAAAAGACAATTTTTGACATTTTTCCCCCAAAAGTCTATACCAAGTACAACAGGCTGCTACGTGAGTGGGGGGAGGAATCAACTTCCAAAACAAGAATTTACAAAAATTAATTTATTTTCTTGCTTTAGCTTGTGGTAATGTCACCCTGCTGAGATAGTTTGGTAGGAATCTAAACTTTAAAATGTTTGCTGATTTTTGGGTGGAATATCATTTCTTTATGCTGCAAGGCTTTTCTTTGGGAGAAGAAACATTACGTATCCACCCGTCAGGAAGAAATGCTGAATTCACAAGGCTGCTTGTATCTGATTTTCAGATCACGCTTTTCTCCCACTGCTACTTAAAAATTCCCAAAGGAAAACCCAGTTTGAGTTTGAAATCTGAAGAGCAATACATCTATTAATGACTTGGCAGACAATTTGTTGGGCTGCCACTGCTGTAACCAGCTACAGATCTGATCCTCCCTGTGCCCCATGGAGGCTCCCGGGAGAGGCAGAGACTGGGAATCAATTTTAGAAATGCTGCCAGGGAAAACAATGTTTTCGTAGATTTTTTCAGCCTGACTGTGCTGCAATAGATGTTCCATTTTAGTTTTCTCCCACTTTAGTTCACATTCTTTGTAGACGAGATTACCACACATTCCCTGGAATCTGAAATGTTTTATTTCCAAGGCTAGTTAGTGTTGTTTACTGAGAAGTGTTTTGTTCTGTTCTCTAAATGGCAGAGCACCATGGCCATCTGCAGGTTATCACATGCTTTCGTGACTCTTTCTTTTTCCTCCTATAACAGACCACTATTTCCAAGAATCCAAAAGCCTGGAAGAGATGCTTTGTACACCAGGGCACAAATGCAACAGTCCTAATTTTTTTGTTGCGCATAGGCAGGTTTTTTTGCCAAGCACTTATCAGACAGATTCTTTGAAATTATAGCTATCTAATCAGCCTATTCTGTTGTCATTTATAAGGCAGCAGGATTGCATTTTTTGCTGGCAAAGAGCTAGTCTTGTCCAAAGTTTACAGATAAAATTCTGATATGTGTATTTTTTCTCTATAAATAAGTATTTAAAATAGATACACAGTGTCTCATCACTCTGTAATATAACTGCTGGCAGAAGAAAATGTGTTTAATGGTCAGCTAACTCTCTTCTAGGACTAAGGTGCCACCCTAAGGGCAGAACTGCCCATCCTGTTGACTGCTTCTGAGGCATCTTTCTTGGGCTGGCACTAATGAAGGTGAAGCGTGGCCTTGCTGCACCAGCTCAGTATGAACCCAGCAAAAACACAGAAATAACAGCAAACTTCAGCCAGGTCACTATTTTACTGATAACCCAAGGCAGGAAAGAGGGAGTGGGGGAAAGGATGGGACCAGCCCTTTTAGCCACAGTCAACAGCTGGATTGGCTTATTTCCATTATAAAAACTGTAGCCGGCCATCTCTTGTGAGCAATACTTGATTTGATTTTTTTGCTGGTATTTGTGACTTTGCCACCCTTACTGTGACAGCATGCAGTCTATCAAATATAGCACTTAAATATATGAGAATTACCTGTGTGTGTGTGTATGCACGTGGAAGAGAAGAGAGAAACAGTGATGTTCTCTGGTGAAAAGGGAGAGAAGACGGTGCTGCAATAATAAAAGCTAGTGAAAGAGAAGAGAAAGCAAAAGGACAAGGGGGAAATTAAGAATAAAGGCAAACTCACATTAAAGAGGTGATAGTATAAAGATGAAAGCCCTGTGAGCAACAGGCCCAGAACTGGCACAGACACGGCCCATCACTCCGCCTGGGTGACAGCCGCGAGTTTTCCCATGCACCGGCTAGTTTTATGCATCCATCCGAATAAACGCTTTTGTTTTCTGAACAGGTAACCCTGGGGAAATGTGGCTGGGGGAATCCACAGCATCATGGGCCGGACAGAGAAACGGGCAACCACACACCGAGTGAGCTCAGCTGCTGGGACGCAAGGCAGAGCTGGGTGAGCAGGAGGAGCCCAAGAGAGAGGGGTAGACAGGCAAGCAAGGCAGACGTATTTTGCTGGCATTTGAGCCAATTCAGCAAATAACTGCCGTGGACATATTACAGTAGCCCTACTAACAATCTATTGCTCACTTCTGATTGCAGCTTTTCATTTTGGGGCTGTTGGCTCCCCATGACCCATGGCTGCCTCGGCAGCACTGTGATTTACACTCACTCTGTAATGCACCCCAGCTCTCTGACAAATCAGGCAAAGCAACCACCATCTCCTTCTCTTTTACCAGGACCTCCCCATAACAGGGGTTTTGAGGTAAGGACAACCTAGGGACCCCCTAGAGACTAAACTGTTCAAGACTGCCACCTTCCTCCTGGTGAATTCTTTGGTGAGGGGTACCAGATGTTGAAAGATTTAACCGATGTAGGAGAAAATTCTGAATAGACGAAGAAAGGAGTCAAGGCTGTGATAAAAAGCAGACAGAATGAACAAAGTATTGCTCTAGAGAGGCATCATTACTTCACCCTTAATCACCAATATCTGTCCCTAAACTATCAGAATTCTTCTATTGGCTCCTCAGCTGGTAATTTGATGAAGAATCCCAAATGCTCACTGCTATTATCCTTACCTCCCTCATGGCCTTGTACTCCCTATTAGCCACGTGTTCTGCATTACAAAAAAAATCCAAAAAACAGTTTTTTCTGTTGCTAATTTCTATTAACCTCTAACAGTACTCAGCACACTGGGATTCTTCGTCCTCATACGACTTCCACAGCTGAAACCGTCCGGCTTCGTGTCTCTGACCTTTAGCCAGGAAATTATCGCAGCAGGTCGCATTCAGACAACACACCAAGGCTGCGCGCCTCTAAAGCCAAGCCAAATGGCTCAGCTGCTTCCTCTGCTGCCTTCACAGCTGGTCAGACCCAAGGTCCTCCAGCGACCTTTCAGGCCTCAGCGGGATGGGGAATTAGGCAAACAGCTACGGCTCTTTTTTTCATACTGCACTACTCGAGACCGAACCAAATCTCACTCATGACTCAAATGAGTAATGATGCTGGGACTGGGTGACTGCACTGTCTAAGACTAAACTTCCTACCTTAAAGATGCAGGTACTATCCTCAATTCTGGCCTCACTTTGCAAAACACATTTCTGTAACACTGGAGTCCAAAATGCCAGCTGAACTATCTGTAGTCAGTAACAGCGCTTAGTGAAAAATAAACAGGATCATTTCCACATTTCTGTGCACAGAACATATTGTTTTGTGTGCATTTCAGACAGCTTATCCTGTTTAAAGGCGAATGTCAATTTTCTTTTGTTTTATGGAACAATTTCTTAATGCAGGTGCATTATTGCTCCGGAAAGAAAACATATTTTTAACGCTGTTGTATAAAGACAGTCCTCAAAGACAAGTGCTCTTAGTTTCATGAATTTCCTTTAGAACTTAAAAGAAACCAAATCGACTGTTTTACAGTTTATT